AAATGTGAGAAAACAGAGAAATCTACTACTTTTTTGTTGTAGATCGACCAGGTCTAGAACAAACGTGTATATAGCAGATACCTCAGGACAGAGGGGAGTTTCTAAATCATTTGTACACTCTCAGCAGAGGTGAGGTAGACATGCAGCTGGTTTTGGAGGCAAGTATGGGTTAGCAAGTGACCAACACACTGAATCATCTTCATTCAGAAGAACTAATACAAAGAGGTTGAGCCAGAGGCTTGAAAGATATACAGTCGCAGCGGTCCCTGTGTGAGCAAGTCCACCCCTCGTGTTGCTTTCTGTGGTCGTGAGCCTCCAGGAAGAAGCGTTCACCTCAGAGGACTGTCATGACCTTTTCCTGCGGTGCAGTTCTTCCCAGTTCTTTTTGAAGTGATGGGAAATTATAATGCCTGCCAGTTTCCCAGTCTTCCTAATTACGCTGATGGACAGGCCTCTTTCTCTACTATTATTTGTTTAAATGCCTTGAGCTTGGAAGAAAAGATTCCAGGAATTACATTCTTCTGTATGTAGGATAAGGGTTTTGTTTTTTTTTTCTTTTTGTAAAGAAGAAACATGAAACAAAAACACTTATAGCCAAAGTAACCAGAACACAGAGTGCTACACTCTCAATTATGTTCATGGTTTCAAAAAGCAGGCAAAATAACAACCTAAGATAATAAGATGGCCTCGTTGCATGATTTTGTTTCTTGATACCTTGTCAGTTGCTGTCCTCTTGTACAGGGAAGGACTGGATACGCCTGGTTTTTAATTAATTTTACTCTTGAAGCACAGCGTCATCCACAGATCAGAGTCACACAGCGCCAGATGTTTTAAAAACTGTAGGATGTGTTCAACATTTACAGTACTCCTCCTGTATACAAATAAGCTAAATTAAGTTCTCGTTCGAAATCTTTAACAATGAAAAATGATGTGAGAATTTAAGCAGGCTTCTTCAGGGACTTAATTTGACTAATCCTTGTCTTTGTTGCAGGTCGGAGACATTCTACGAGGCATAGCACTTATCGCTTGTAGAAACGAGAATCAGGCAGCAGAGGGCTGGAAAACCCGTTATGAATCCTAAGGGAAGAGTTTCCTCAGCCTGAAGGCATTTGAACGAGGAAGTCTCTCCAGTCTAACTGGGACATCTTCACTCAGAAGAATTATTACAAATAAGTTGAGAGAGAGGCTTGAAAGTTTTACAGACCTGGTAGTGCCTGTCTGGCCAAGTCCACTTGTTGCTTTCTGTGGTCATTACATTAGCCTACACAAAGAACCGGTTCAGCTCAGAGGGTTCTTGAGAGCTTTTAATGTCACACCATGAAAGGAAGGCTGTATTCAATTACTCGATGCAGAATCTAGACGGATTGCTCTCACTCCTGGTCTCTACTAACTAGATGTGCTTGAAATGTATCTTGTCAAAAACAGAAGATAAACTGAAATGTAGATGTAAGTGCTTCAGATTTCTTTTAATCTTTGAGATTTGTGTGTGTGATTCTGTTTGAGGGGATTTAATAAAGTCATTCAAGATAAAGTCTGCATCTCTGTCCTCTGAAATACTTGCCTATGCACTCATTCTTTTAACTGTTGCTGGATCGGAGTGCGGGGAGCTCACCTTGGTTTAGATGATAATTGAATAACAGACAATCATTATTTTGGGGCTTATCTCTTGCTTTAAAGGGGACATGACCAGGGAATTTGATCATTCAGTTATAAACACCCGTTTCATGTTTACACCCATTTTCCTTCTAGGAAAGGTGGAATCATCTGTTCTCTCCCTACTCCCTCCCTGAAGAGAGACAATGACCTCCTTTTTCTTGCTGGGCACGGGTAAGATGTACCCCCCGCAAATGCTTCCATAAGGGCTAAAAGATTAAAATATCATTTAGATATGAATGACATTAGGTCACTGAGAGACAAAAGCTTCTGATAAGGATTTACTTTTCATTAAAAAGATCTTAATGAGCTACTGTAGAAGACTCTTGATCCCAGACAGTGTATTTTATGTAATATCCTCCTTTGCGGGAACTAGCTGATGACCTCTCTGACCTCAAAGGCATCCTCAGGGCTGGGTGGCTTTGGTCAGGCTTGCTTTTCTCTGCAGATTTCCAAACGCTTCCTAGAACCAGAGTTAGCTCACGAGCTCTTTAGAACATGGAAGACTACCCTCTTTGTTGCTGTAATGGATTATTCTGTAGCCCCAGACATTTTGGCTAGTGCTTTTCTCCTGTAGTCATGCCAGTAGCACTTCAAGTCTTGGCCATCAAGAAAAACAGGCGGTGGAACTGCTACTGCTGTTACCTGGTACGCGGTCCTAAGGTTGAGAGAGAAGTATTCTCACATTAAACTAGCCATCTTTTGTTTTCATGTACCCTGAAAATTCAGAAACCAACTTCAATGTGCATGCATTCAGATCAGCATGAATCAAAAGGCAGTATTTTGCCCTAGGATGTCCACTTTCCAGTTGCTTTCAGGAAGAAGCTAACTCAATGTGCAGCTGAGGACCAGACACGACCTGAACCTGGACTTTCCAACAGGACACTGACAGGCTGAAAAAAATTAATTTGCCATCTGTTGAGTGAAGAGAGAAGCAGCCTATGGGCTGCTGTACAAGTCGGAGAGGCTTTCCACCTTAACCTCTGCTCATATCCAGGCAGGTTCTGAGCAACTTTCCACTACCGTCAGCCTGGCATTTTATAGCATTGACCCACAAAACAAAGGAGATGTCTGCAGTTCTTATCACCAGTAAAATAAAATGCAAAACCCCCTCACGGAGCCATCGAAGTCCTTGCTGAGCTCTAGAACCTGCAGGGCTCGTTGCAGGCACCCTCTTTGTCTGACAGTTGTTCACTTAGACCGCAGTACGGAACATTCGTCTTCAGACCAGTCTGTAAAACGCCTTCACAGGCTCAGCACCATACCACAAAATAGCAAAATTAAATTGTATTTATCTGGGCCCAAACTATCATTCTGCCTGCTTGACTTTTTTTCTCCATGCCTATTCACTTGATTACTAATTTATAAAGCTCATCTATCTTCGCTGAGCAAACCAGATCCTGACATGAACTGGGGAGTTCCAAATGTATTTGCTATTTAGTTTCCAACACCTGTTATAGCCTTTATGGGAAATGTAATACTGTCTTGTTAAACCTTATCCTCTACTTTCAACAATTGCCTTTTTGGGCTACAACAGAAACAGGAAGATAAGACTCTTGGAGTATTTAAATCAGTGTTTTACTGACCATGAAAGACGCTATCTGCAAAATGATCAGTAATTACCTCACATATCTCAGTCCACGCAAGAGAAGCTACCTGTACATGATAAATGTGAACTACATAACTGTTTAAGCTTTGAATTGGATCTGCTGAGGTAATCCTGGTACTCTTGGTCAAAGTACCTCTTCTGGCTTAGGATTCAGGATGCTTGTGCTATATACTCAGCACCACCCAAAATAAGTAGGTCACCACCGTAGAATTATGCGGGTGCGTTCACCGACACAAAGTCTTTTGCTAACTTTCAATTTCATTGTAATTATTCCTAAAATGCACCAGAAACTGTACGAGTAGCAAAGCTACCTCATTTAGTTTGAGGTTGAGAAGTAGAAGAGCAAAGGTTCCCACTTAGATCAAATTAGATGGGAGGAAGGGAGAAGTTTGTCTTTATTACAGACACTTTTGAGACCATTTTCTCCTGTCTTTTACTGGTCCTGCCACAGTCTTCCCACCTCCTCCCCAGTGGGGAGCTGGATGCAGCACAGTTGATGTCAGTGTGATAGAAATCACCTTTACCAGCGCTGCTTCCCCGACTCCTCTGGGTGTTTCCATCGTCGTCTTGCAGTGAGGAAAGGATCTCAAACCTTTCTTAACGCTTAAGTCAGGTCCATGAGTACTGGGGTAACTCTTGTATTTTCTTTATACTTTCAAAGACAGAAGCTTATCAGGAAACCTTAAAATTCATAAAACACCCTGTGTGGAGAGTACTGTTTCAGTAACTTTCAATGCTTTCTGTGTAGGTGAATCACCACGTTGTATATTGCCTACAGCAATTCTAAAAAATTCACTTAGAAAGGTTTGGAGAAGGTGATGACAGCTCTTCTACATGTTCTGTAACCACCACATGTCTTGTCTTTCAGTTTGCTCCTACTATATTTCTGGATTCAGGTGTATGCCCCAACCTGCTGCCACCACTTACCCTGCACCTCAGCCTGCAGGTCCTGTTTCACCTACCCAAGTGCTAACGAATGCGGCTTGGGTAGGAACCACACTGTCACGGACAAGAACTGGGGGAAAAGATGAAAGATGTGTAGGAAACACCACATAATTTCCAATTTTCATTTCCACACACTTGCCTAAAGGAAAAGTTTTCATTTGAAATTCAAAATAAAAACTGGAACTTTTGGAAGAGTGAAGGCATTTCAGCTAAAATGTGTATTTTTTAGAACATCTGTGGATCAAGTTAGCTCAGTGATGCATCCTTATGAGATACAGTGCATGACTACAGGAAGCAATTTACTTCTTTAGAAATACTGGCTGAAATATTTTCTGGATATTGATTACTGATCGATCAATCTGCAAAACAATTGGAAATAAGTGGTGAAACAAGGACAGAGCTACAGGCTTGCTTTTCGTTCAATTTCTAGCATGGCTGTTGTTAGGTATCACATATTTTTAGAAAATATATACTACCATGATAACATAACCATAACATTAAGTGAGCAAAAAATATGGGCAGTCTTATGGTGTGTTAGTCTGAGATTTTACCACACCTAGCATTTAGAAGTTTCTTTTTTTCAAAGACCAGATAAAGTCTCCACCAGAATGCAGCCCACAGCCTTGTGCCTGTAAATCGATGTTTCTCTGCTAGGAAGGTGAGGAAGGAGTGGGCATCCGAGGGCCAGAAACCAGAGCACAGCATATGACAGAGAGCAGGGGGCAACAACACAAGCCAGTGTGGGAAAGAAGAAAGGAAGGATTACGCTGACCAACAGATGGTCTACACTTGCCTCTTTTATCAGATTCATAAATCTGGGTCCAAAACGCCACGGCTTGTGTCTGTGACACTGCAAGGAGCTGACAGTCATTTGGGAGGCACGCTGGGAGGCCACTGCTACCATGTAAACAGCATCGTACATCAGAGCTGCTTCTGTCTGCAAGAAAAAACAGAAAGGCTCTCTTTAATGTACATCTTTGTGCGCCGTCCCCGCTTTTCTCTACTCAGAACCGTTCCCTTGGGCTACTGGTACGGAGCAGGCCACTACTGGGCTTTCCACGGAAATCTGAGATGCAAAAAAATCCATTTTTTTGCAGCTTATATTAATTTCAGAGCATCTTCAGGTGAGCATTGGGAAGAAAAACTGCATTGGGAAGAAAAACCACATTGGGTAGCAACTGGAAGAGAGGGGTCGGTGAGTCCAGTGCAGGATGGAGCACACAGGTAGCTCTGTGGCACGGAGAGGAGTTCTAAGAAGCCTCAGGTGATACAGCAGCCCAGGTCTCATCCTCCAGGCATGTCCTAGAGCCAAGCACTTTGCAGCACCCAGACTTCTATAGTTCCCTCATGGGATTCGACAAAGACTCTCAGCACCTCAAAATGTGTCATCCCAAAGGACCATGCAAGTGCTCAAGCCGGTCTCTGCCCAGCTGCAGGTCGGCGTGGCATGGTGGCATGGCATGGGGACGCGTGGGAGGGCTGCCCACGAGGGCCCCGTGCCAGCTCCCTGTTGCCGCTCTTCTCATGGCCTTGCGTGCCAGGGAAATGAATCTCACCGAGCACCTGGTAGGTATCCCACCGGACAGGTACCTACTGTCTCTGAGCGTCTACTGCTCGCCAGGATCTTGGCTTTTCGTACAAATGTGTGAAATGGCCCCTCCGAGATGTGGCCAGGGCTGGTCCCCTGCCATACCTCCCTCCTACACCGTCTTACAGAGAGGTGAACTGTCCTTTCGAGGTGCCTTTTTTGATGATTAAGTTGGCCATATACATTTAACTTCTAGTTGTCTAAGACAGGACAGATGAATACAGCCCTTAGACACCAAAATATTACTAAAATTACTGGATGCTGGTTGTACATCTGTGTTTCTTCTGAGAATGCGTTTATTGGTTTAAAAACATGCCCAGAAAGCCTCAAACTCAGATCGCGCACCCTGTCACCCTTTATCACGGAGTTTTAGGAAAATCTTGCCTTCACCTTCGCTAGGCTCCAGTGCTGTCATGTGTGAGGTGGGAATGGCCACATTTCGCCTAATGCACAGGGATGCTGTACAAATGAAGGGCTTATCTTTCTTGTAAAGCTACTGAATAATTAAGTAGGGGCCTTAAAAAAAAGTACTAACTTTGCAGATGAGAAACTGGACTCATCTATATGAACTGCAAAGCTAATCCATTTTTTATTCCTTTCCAATGCAACTCCTTTGGGAAATTAATAGATGTGATTCTGTGTCTGTTTCATTTACCTAAGTAAATTACAACAGCATCAGTCTTAGCAGCATTGGAGGCTTTTGCTGGCAATCAAATGTGATCTGAATTTATCAACTAATCTTAATATACTGCAGATGAGGAATCGCTCTTGACACGCTAGTCCGGACCTGCCCAAAACAACACTCCATAATCAGAGCAACCTGAAAACATTATAAATGGTGAGGCAAGCAGGAGGAGACAGTAACAGCTGTTCTCAGACTGGAGGGACTGAAAACAGATACTTGTTCCACGCAGACCTGGAGACTAAAGGCCTGATCCCAAGTCCTTCAAAATCAATGGAAAGATTCCCATCAACGTCAATGGACTTCAGATCAGTTTTTACAATAGGCTGGGGACATGTGCATTCAGGATTGAATTTTACTTGAGCGCCGGAGCCCTAGTCTGTCTGTCTCTCAGGCCTAGGGATGCTGGGGATACTTGGTGAAAACGCCCCAGGGCACCTCACTTGGCACTCCTGTCTGGGACCTCCCATGCCTTCACTTGAGAACACGGAGCATCCCGCAGTACTTGCTCGTTGACAGCATTGCCAGGCTCGGCTGTTTGAATCTCATGCCTGTGTGACTTGTTACTCATCCATCCTGCTGTGCAGCAACTGGGAGGTTACGTTACCTCCTCAAGCCTTTTATTTCTCCCCTCGCTGTTGCTCTGGTTTAGGGCTTGGGGTTGCATGGAGGAACAAAAGGTCATCTCATTTTCTGAAGTAAACTGACTTATATTGACATCTGTACTTGTGCACGAGAAGACAGGGACTAAAAGTTAGTCCTAAAACTTGTCCTTCTGATTTTCATATTCTATTCAAATTATTGCAAAGAAACCCAAAGATCTCATTAGAACAACTACGCCTCTGTGTGCAATTTGGGCATAAAGTGGGACGTGAACTCAAAACTGTCTTGGTCATGCCCTGCTAACTTCCCACAAGCTGACATCAGGGCAAACAATATAGCATGAACCAGAAGGGAGAAATTCCGAGTTAACAATAGGACATGTAATCCTGATCTCCTTGTACCGTGCGCCTTGTCACAGCCTTATTGTCTAATGGAATACAGCAGCATCGCAGCTCGCCATCAAACTGAATAAGCAGAACTTGCCATGAATATTTAAATGATCACAGCCAACTAGCAAAACGCTTCCCTCGGTGCTCCTGCTGTTTCAGAGCATCAAGGACACCAAGAGATCAGAGAGATGCAAAGGAGAGGATAAGAGTCAGAGACACAAAGGAGAGCACAGGCCTGTAGTAAGAACTTTGTTTTTCCCGGTTTTACAGTCGGGGGAAGGCAGGGGAACAGCTCTGTGTGACCACCTACCCTTGCAGGCCTTCTGTATTCACATCAGAGGTGCCCAGGGACAGCTTTCTCCCCTGCTCTGCGTATGAGTGAGCACAACGGCACTGCCCAAACAAGCAATGCTTCTTTGAAATGCTAGGGAGAGCACACTTAATGCATTTCTCTTCAGGACATTAGGATGTTTCAAAGTTTTCCCTGCAATCATCTGCAATAAAGTCTATTTCCTACCACTTCGAACTCCACTCAGTACATAAGATACACTGTCTTTATATTGCAAAAGATGGCAGCCCTTCACCCTGCAAAACCGAATGGAGTCACGCTGTCCATGTAATTGTTCCTGTTCACTCCTTTCTTGGGCAAGGGGTAGGGAGGAAACCCTAATTTCCTGGCTTGATGATACCTTTCATTTGTCTTTAAATTATATCTGAAAAGCCAGAGTTGCTGCCGACGATGGAAATGAAGAGAAAGGGCACTTTTCCAATTTAAAAATGCTATTACCTGTCCACGTGTACAATATCTTTCCCTGCAGGTTATAAATCGTATACCTGCTCTGAAAGTTTTTATTTCCTGTTATGTTCTTCACTGCATGCAGAACATTATTAGAGAAATGAGGCAGCGGTATATGCAGGTGGCAACAACGAGATGAATGATGCTAGCTGGACGGCACCACGACGGAGAACTGTCACTCATCTCTAGAGCCGCCCGGGAGTGGTTTGTCACACAGACGAGTACAACATTGGTTCACGGGGCAAATGCTCCTCTGCGTAGGAGCGGGTAAAAGGAATTTTGTCGTGGGGATACTGCTTCATCCTTTGCATTGTGAAATCAAGCCGTAATGGGATCGGTTGGCACCTGCTAGAACCGCATGGTGAAGCGCGCTGTCGACGCCCCTGCGTTATTGTGGTTGTTGACTTACTGTCATCATGCCATCGAGGAGGCCGGTCTCCGGTTTCGGCGGTGCCTGCAGACGTTCCATTGACCATTTCTCAATGACCGACGAAACCTGTGGGTTCTCGATGTTGAGCAGGCGAAACCCCGTCATATTTACTCCGCTGTATCTGTAGGGTTCCAGGTCTAATGCAAATAGATCCTAAATCACCGTTAAGAAAACAAACAAAACCAGATGTAGTATTTTTAAAGCAGCATGTTCAGAAGGTACAGTTAGGCCAAAAGTGTATTTGATTTTCAATCCAAAGCTCAAGTGCTGTTTGTTTTTTTTTCCCCCTGTGAATGCTCTGCTTGCCCTCAAAGCCCAACCATGACTGCTTCAGTTATAAATCTGAATAAACCAAAGCTATATGAAATTTAGGACAAATCACACCTCTGCTTTTTGGAATGTAAAAATCAGTCCCCCACAAGAAAAATATTTTGCAACCAACCTGCACAGCAGTATCTGATTTTAATTTATAGCAGTCCTCTGGCAGTGTTACAGCTCTGACAAACCAACACGAGGAATTAGCTGGCCAATGTCAAGCTTATTTCTCAACTCGGAGAAGGATAATTCCAAGAGATGTCGAGAGCGATGCACTTTCACTGCTTACGAATCCCATTTTTCCTTGCCTCCTGCAGGTGATTTGCTGCCGGTATGTCTAAGGGACATGTCAGGCCAGTGCGCACCAAGTCCACGCGCGTCGGCGCTCGGCATCCACAGGGCAGGAACAGAACGGGTATTCTAAGTGATATAACTTGGGGGCACGCGCCACAGCCTTATTTATCAGGCAGTGGAAACAGGGTAACTGCTTCTCAAAGCCTGAAAGCTGTTTTTCAAAACAACTTTTTGCTGATCCTGGCAGGCCAGTGAAATGACAAATGTGTTGGTCATGGCTTACTACCACAGTAATCATCAAAATGTCAACATTTACAATACCACGCCGCCGAGATACCACCAGCACTGCTTGCTGCTTGTTCTAATATGCGCTCTACACTATCTCATGCATATCGGCGGTGGTGGTCCAATGCTTTCGGTTAGATTGTTTATTGTGTAAAAATGTAAGTTCCACAGTAAATCCTAAACTTTCACGTTTTTCTTGATATTAAAATAGCCTCAGAGGGAACTATTTCAAGCTACTACTTCAAGTTCCAAACAGCTAGAGAGTCTTTTCTGGCTAATGAATTGACTATTGGATTCAAAACGATTTTTCACTTCCACATAAAATTTTATATGGAAAGGAAATAAAGAATAAGCTGATGCACAAGATATAATCCAGCCCTCTAGGACTGTTCTAGCAATACTGGTTCTTTGCTGTCTGTCTGGTCTACAATGCAAATGGACCTTAAGCACGGATTTAGTTATATTTATATATAGCATGTAAGTTAAAACATAGGAAAAATGTGCTCAAATGAGTATTTATAGATTTGTACCATAAACAAACATTTAGGGGTTTTCTTTTACTATAGAATTTCCCAAGTGATTTTATACACATGTGATTTTGTGGTTTTATAAGTAAAAGAAACATTTTAGTGATGAACCGCACGGTCCGTGGTGCTTGACCCTGGCTCCACTCCAAAGTCGTTCACTCATTATTTTGTTTCGCTGTGACCCACCTGTACCGACGGCTCCTCCTTAAACACAACGCTGCAATCAATTCTCATTGTATTAAAGCGTTAGCCAGCCCCCCACACACTGCAAAACAGCTTCCCTACAACACTGTGTGCCTTGATATTACTAAGGAATGTCAGTACTCATTCTCCAGGGGTCTCCTTGAATAACGGCAATAAAGACCTCCTACAAAAAGTGGAAATTTTTAGTTGTCTTTTCTGCAACAGAGAAAATTCACCCCCACATCTTTAGTGTTCCTTACCAGTGTTGTAAAAAAGTAGTGGTAGTATTCGGTCATCATTCCCATGGAGAGAATCTGTTGAAAGAGATTGAAAGGTGAATGTACTTTATTCTGGATGCTTTCAGCGTACCGCACTGTCTTTTGAAAAGCATGGGTTAATCTGGAACAACACATTACAGGTCATGAAAACCTGATTACAATAAAACCTACATTTTTCTTCAGGATCAAAAAATATCCTATTGTATATAAATTATGTTTTTATCACCTCTGCTCAGGAAAGAGATTAAGGACTGCAAAACTTCTAGGACAAGAAAAATTACTAGCGATAATGAGAAGCTGATTTCTTAAAAGTGAAATTCTTTAGTCTGCAGTTCAGAAGTGTTAAAAAGGAATTTACTAGCAGACAACAGAATTTGTAGGGACAAGTGCTTAGGTGCAGGGTTTTTTATTCTGCATTACCATGTGAGAACAAGACACTCGTGAGTGCTTGCTGAAGTAAACAAGAAAAACAAAAAGAAGAAAGCTTCTCTAAATGCCTTTTGTTCCACCTGGGGAATGCAGGTCTGCAGGAGGTTGTCAAAACAACCAGTATGAAAGGATTTCTGGTCAGGATTAATTTTCCAGAGTCAGAGCTTTTGAAGTTTGCAAGGTACGGATGGCATTTAAATGCACAGTGAGTGGCCACCTCGGGTGGAAGAGGATGAAGTTTTTCTTCCCAGCCTTCACATTGGAGGAAACTTCTAGAGGGTTGTGTTTTTTCCCTCAGCCCCTCTCCAAAAATCATTGGGAATGCTTAAATAAAGCCCCGCTGAAGCTGTATAACAGGATGCTCTACAGTGTCAGCCCAGCATCCCCTACCCTTGTCGCCGCGTCCGTGCACACTATAACCATGATGCAAGCATTCTGCATTTTGCATTTTGTCCTCTCTGGGATCTTGTGAAGAGGAGGAATTATGAGCTAGGAAACTACTGAAGAATTCATTATCATGACAGTAACAGAGACAAAGGTTAAATGTTATTCAGTCTTGATCCCAGTAACGTAAGCATCTGCTATTAATAGTATCTTTGGACACTTTTAGCAGTGCCTGAATAGCTATTTGAAAGACAGGGGAAAACAGAGTGATTTGGCTTGCCAAAATTCTCTTTCATGGCACAAGCCGCTGAAAATCAGTTGTGTGACTGTGTACGGCAAGCCCTCACACACAAAAAAGGGAAGAACCTGAACTTTCTAAGCTGCAGTAGGTAATAAAAACAGTTCAGTGCTAATCACAACCAACCAATCCATTTCCAGCCACAAAATCAACCCAGAAGGCAAGTATTTCATTGAAATGCTCCACTGAATTTACATGTCAAAATTGCATTTTTTATTTCTTATTTTATTAATCCTCTCCTATTCCATTTCTTATTTTATTATGTTATTTTATTACCTGTAGAGATGAGCAATCTAGCAGTCCTGGAGACTGCTGTTCCTTCACTATTTACGCACAGAAAACGATATACGGTAGCATGAATGGGAACTTTTGTATGCTGCGCTTCCCAGCTGACCTGGCTGGACTCAGTTCTACTCCCCGGAGCCGTTGGATGCCTGTGTCTAAGGTCCCTGCCATGGGAAGGAGCTGCCAGTCAGGATTTTTAAGATGTCGGTCTCTTTTGAGCTGAAACTATTGAAACAACCCAATTCCTTCACATGGGGCACAGACCAGCTGCTAGGTTATACAAATGTGGTTTGAGCCCAGGTAATCCTCTATATGCCGAAATTTATCTGGTCCTCTACACGAAGTCTGCAGTTAGTCCATGGTGTTACATTAGTATGAAAGCACGTTCATACTAATAAGCGTAAATAGGAGGATACAAATACCCAGATCTAAATTACTGATTCATTACAGTTTTAAGTCTAGCTTGAGATAGAAGAGCTGACATCAAGTCACTGCACTTCTCTTATCAGAAGACATAAACTGCAATTTGTCTGCATAGAAAGAGTAAGACAACAGAGAACCAGGACAATGCTAAGCCTTATAATGCCTTAAAATCCAACTTTACCTTAACTAGACAGATCCATTAACTAAAATGATTAGAAAGTGTGCAGCCTGGATGTTCGGGAAGCATTACCTAGCTTGTGCTGCGGCAGCTACACTGCTGCTGGGTAAGGAGCCAGTTAATCCAAGGTAGCCCAGCTACTGCTTTCCTCTCAAATCCAAGGGCAGCAGCCCGAGAGGAGCGTTTGCCTCCTGAACACATTTTTGATTGAAACTCTTTATGAGAATATTGATTCCCAAGTAATGCACTATAAACAGAGCTGGCAGGACACACACATACCTGTGATTAATAATGATTTCAAAAGTCATGCTACAGGATTGTCTTCGAAAAAAAAAAACAGAATCAAACCCCCTGAAAACCAAAAGCAATTGCATGTAAAAAACGCAGTTCAGCCAGCAATGTTATCTGCCACAACCAAGACACGGGTTCATGATGGCAATTACTGGAAGGGTGCCATGGATTTGCCAAGGGTCCTGTACCCAAAGGCTCCATGAGAGATGCTTGCCAAAATTCTTCCAAAGGAAGTATTGCAGCAGCCCAGGAAAGCTTAATCAACATGTCACTTTTGTATTTTCTATATTAATGATATCAATTAAGATATGAAGATACAGACAGCTGGAAGGGAGCTTGTAAGTGGCACACACACGTTAATAATGTCCTTGTCTGGTTCAGGAGCAAGAGCTGATGTGGGATCTGTCCCAGGCTGGGCTCTGACCTGCCCCTGAGCTCTGTCCTCTCACTGACCTCTCACTGGTCACAAGAACAGCCTTAACTGGTTGTCCTCCCCTCCAACAGTCATTAAGGATGATAATTAGTTAACAGTTATATAGCATTTAGACATCACTGTGACAGGTGAGTTAGATCTGTAGATTGACCTAAATAGGGTGCTTTTTATTCATAGATTGTAAAGACTTTGGAATAATAACTTATTTATGTTTTAGGGTAACATGGTCATTAAGTAAAATTCCCAATGAATGACAACCTAACGACAGTACCAAAAGCCCACTCTGACGGATGGTGTTAGGAAAACAGGAGTTGAAGACAAGCTAAAGCAAAAGCAAGAGGACTGCTGAATATCATGCTGGAGACCCCAAAGCATTAATGACTTCCAGGCCGTAATGATTTGGATGCTCCTAGTAGTGTAAAGAGGAGAGTTGCCAGGACTTGTCTTCTGCTGTGCGTTTGCAACACAGCAGACACAGGGAAAGCAGCTTTTAGGAACTACTAGGAGCGAGACAATAACTAAAACACGTTAGGAGCAAAGACTCCTTTCAGGTTGGGGCACCTCTGAAGTACCTCGCAAAGCATCTGCAGAGGCTCTTCCCACAGAGCAAGTGTCCTCCCCACTAGAGACAATGAGCACAGCAGCCCAGAAGAGAGAAGGGAAGGCAACAAGGTTGGTTTATGTATATATAGCTGCCCGTAAGAAACCAGAATGAGATTTCATTACATATTCCAATTTAAATAACTTTGCATGTAGTTATTTAAATAATTATGCATCTGATATTAATGTCCTATTTAAATAATTACAGCTTTTACTTACTGCGGAACTTAGATGAATGTCAACTAGTGAAACCAGGCTAAAATATTCTCCATTCTCCTTGTAGATCTCCTACCCATCCTACCCTGTATAAAATCTGTTCTTCTGCCAAACTCGGATACGGTTGGATTATGGATTATCTTGGCAAATAAGACGAAGAGACTTCCATCCCTAATTATCCATTTCAGATCAGAAGTTTGGGCCTTGCCTTTGGCAGACCTGTACTTTTAGCTGTGGGCCATGAACTGCAACGTGAATCTGAAAAAGCATCAGTGGTCAAACTGTATTCGGCAAGCTGGCGGAAACTGGGTAATAATAGTCTCTCTTATGTCTGTAAATCTCTTTGGGTGCCCTGTTCCTGGTTTACGTCATATCCCAGCTCCAACCTGCATTTGTTCATCTTGTAAAAAAATCATGGCCTCATTTAGAGCTAGTGTCAGTCTTCCTTCAAGGCGGGCTGAAACCAGAATGATGGTGAAGCATCAGCGGGAACTGCAGCAAATACTTTGCTTGCTTTCACTTTGCATTTTCCTCACTCATGCTATTATTTAATTTTATGACCATTAAATGAATACATTTCATTATCCAGTTAATTAGTACCACCACTGTTTTGTAAGATCAGCAAGATACACCATAAAGAATAAAAGCCCCTCTGCCTTCTTGCCTTTCAAGTGTTCAATATAAAAGGTTTATACTGTGCTTACAGTGCTTCCCTGGAGTCTGTGTAGATGACTTTACTCGGCCATGACTTAACTCATTGGAAATCTGCATCCCAGTCAGTCACAGCAGCAGTCCAGCTGGAGTGGTATAGAGTTCCTCCAACATGGACATGAGCCACGCCAAGAAACAAGATATATTCTGTAAATACTTCGTTAGTATTGGAGTCCAGCTGGAAGCAAGGGCCACAGCAATAGGGCAGGACCAAAGTCTTGGCCCAGGGTCCCAGTCAGCTGGGGTTGGCTCCTTCGGCTTCCTGAAGAGATCCCAGGGAGCGAGGGCAGCAGCATTGCCTTTCACACTCCAGCATGGACATCATCTCACAGTACCAAGACTGGATGCACTTGAAAGTCGACTGGCATTTGCACCACGCAGGGAATCTTCCAAGGAAGCAAAGAACAACTACATGTGCAACTGTAGCATGGATGGCACTGCACGGAGTTTCGTAACTAGTTTAGCTTTCATCTAGACAGTACAGCTAACAGGGACAGAGAAGGAGCGGTCTCGGCATAGGGCAGCTATGATGTGACACAGCAAGGATCCCAAAAGACTCTACTCTGATTTATAGCCTCTGCTCCTGCATCTTCAAATCTCAGAACAAAGCTTCCAAGGCAATGGCCACACTTACTTCTATAGAGACCCGCTTTCAGATTTGGGGACTGAAGTACACTGCCAAATTCCAGGACGAATTACCCCTGCCACACCATTTCTGCGCCCACGGTCTTTACTGATGTCTTAACCCACGCGTGCCTTAGGGACCAACTCTCGCCAGCTGATGCCATTCAGCAGTAACCAGGTGGCCAGAAGAGGATGTCCCCCCATCAACAACCCCTTTATCAAATCAGTAAGAGAGAGGAGAACCAGCGAGGTATGTCTGTGCTTCTCACCCTGGGGCTTGGAGGATCTAAGAGCTACGAGCTAATCCTTGGGGGGACCCAAGAGCTAATCCTGCCTTTTCTTAGCAGAGAGTGGGCTTCAGCCTACCTGTCAAGTTACCAGAAGGAGCATACTCAGAACTGAAGTTTTATATTCTCACATTTATTATTGTAGCTGGAATGTATGCTGTGGTGACACTTCGTTTTCATACTTCCGTAGGAACTGAATTAATTATTTTGCTCTTTGTCTGTCACATAGTGAAAGTGAACATAGAAGTCTTTATAAAATGCTCTGTGAGTGTCCTAAACATGACTAAATATACAGTACATTTCACAAAATTTATTTTAGAGGTGTGGAGGAAGGAGTAGATAATTTAAGGCTAGTGGCAACATAATTTATGAGAGACGAGTTTGCCTAGCAGTAAAATCTATGTCAACTGTTGGTGTGTTAGAAGAATAAATTGAAGGTTAACCATAACAACTTAACCTCTCGAACCAAGTTCCTCATACAAAAAGGCAACAGCAGACTAAACACAGTATGTGCAGGATATATTGAAAGATTTGTGGATAAAACAGATTGCAATTTGCAACAGCTAGATTTAACTGACTTGTGGGATTGCTTACCTGGTCTAGACAGAGCACCAAAGCTCTGTCCACAAAATATTTCAGGTCAATGCTGTAACCACCAGATTTTTCCTTAAGAAACTGTTTCCAACTTCCTTGTGTAAGGGACTCAATCCTGCTGGTCTTAGGCAGGTTTGGAAGGTGCCTTATTATCTCGCACTCCTTCAGGGATATCTGGTTTTAGGCTTGGAAAGAAGAGAGATGCTAGGCACCCTTGGAGCCCAGCAGGACAGGAATGCAGAAGTCAAATGGGAAGGATCCTACAGAGCTCAGGTAGATCCCGAGCAGGACTTTGGAGATCACAATTTTACCCTAAGAAGCCACAGCTGCACTTAGCTCCTGCTTTTGGCATCTAATTCTCTACTAGATCTCGCTCCTTGTCAGACAATTTGTTCAGTCTTCATGAGCTTTAAAGCTCCAGCAGCCAAGATTTTCAAGTACGCTATGGGAGTGACAGCCCAGCTGCAACTTTTTCCATCAGCTCTGCTGGTGTGGTACGTCCTTTTTGAAAACTCTGCTGGCATAACCCCCTGGCTCAAGTAATTTCGGAATATCTTGATCCCTGGGGAGCCGGTCACTTTGGGCAGCAGAGCTGCTGGTTTGGGTGGTTACCTGGTACAGGCAACAGAGCTGGAGAACTCCCTTAGCCGCCGTGTGCTGGTCGCACGAGGTTACCAACCCTCGTGAGGGAATATGGAGAGAAAATTCAAAGTGACTATTGGAAAAGGTAGCAATTAATAATCACAATTTCCTTTTGCTCCTTCCAGATCTGGGTGAGGAGAGGGCCAGGCGTCATTAAGCTGGTCGGGGACTGTGAAAGCCTGGGCTCTCTGCAGCATGTCAGAGAGAAGGGGAAATGTGTGAGTTTAGGGAATAGGTTATCCAGCTGTGTGCAGGCTTTGTATTTTGTTTAAATTAGGTTATTGATTCGCCTGCTCTTGTTGTGCACAAGGAAGAAGTGCGGCTTAACGGTATTTTAGCTGAAGCTATAAATAAGCAAAAGATAGTCTCGTTTAAGAGAAATCTGTCTTTTGTGCTGTTTTGTAAACAAAAGGTTGAAGGAGGCAAGTGAAGAGGTTGCCGCCCCTGGTCCCACCGCCCGGTAACGTGGCTGGGTCAGGTAGCTCCACACTCCCAAACACAGCTCCCCATGCCGACTCTTTCCAGACGTAAGTCTGGACGTGCTAACCCTTTCGCTCCCAAAAAGAGCTTTTGGGCATCCCTTGCCCTCCCTGCCTGGGAAACAAGCCACGTGCAAAACTTTTGGGGGGAAACCTGTGCAGGCTTGGAGGGCGAACAGGAGACAAGAACGGACGATAAGCAATGGTGGGTATGTCCCTGTGCGACCCTGCTGTGTTTTTAATCTGTAAAAAGCCCTCCGCAACCCAACCCGCTACAAATCTCCACTTCCTTTATTTATCTTCTGCTGCATGGGCTACCAAACATCTACTACATTATTGTAAATACTGCAGGCAGACAAGAAATTGTTGCTTTGGGGACAGGTTTAGGTGACTCTTGGCTCTGATTCCCACTTCTATTAGAAATCTGATATCATTTAACAATGGTATGTTTTGGATCATTTCCAAAGTCAAAAATATTCTCTACTAATATTGCAGAGTTTTCTTAACATAATTTCTATCGTATTCTCTTTAATATCTTGGTTTCATTCAGTGCAAAATTACATAGGGGTTTACGCATGCAGTGATGAGAATGTGAACCACGGTACTTCAGGCAGCTCCCCTGCAATCAGGTGAGTCCCAGGTGAATTCAGAGCCCTCCACACCTTCACATTTCACTGCTGCCTTGGACAGTGAGGAAATTCAACATCTGAGTTACTGCTGCCAGCTTCTAGATTCAGCCATAGAACTATCTCATATGAACCATTTTCCATTTCTGTCTAGCCTATATTTACGTTCCTTCCTTTCCCGCAGCTCTGACCCACAGCTGCAGCTCTCTTAATCTCCCTGTTTTCTCCCACATTGCCATTCATCACCCTTCTCCGAGTTATTAAGGCACTGGAGAGCACTACCTGTATCTGTCAGTCGTCTCCCCGATCCATTTCCATCACAAACCTCCTGCCACTTTGCCCTGGCTTAGCGCACTTCTTTGGACACTAAGGTGGTTTTTTGGTTTTTTTTTCATACTCAGCCTGGTCTATTTGAAGCTTTGTGCCTCCTGCAGCGTGCCAGACATCCGTACTTTCTTCTGGCAGATCCTTGAAAATTTGTGTTGTCAGTTTAACTCTTCTCCACAAATCTCATTTTGGAGCAGCCTGTTCCTGCTGTCGCGTTTTAGTGCTTTCGGAGGGCCCTGCAGAGCGAGGGGACCGCAGCTCCCCTCTCCACCCCCTGCCCAATTAATGCCGCTTGCTACCCTGCGCTCCTCATCCCATGAGAGAGCAGCTGCCTGATTCCGCACCCTCCCCTTGCTCTTCCCTTCCATCCCCAACATCACGCCTGCATCTGGCCCTGCTGTAACATAGCTTAAATATATAACTTGCACCGAGAAAATCTTAAAATTTAGTAGAAGCCACCTTTCCTGACAGCAGTAAATGTAACCCTAGTAGCTCACGGGAACTCGTGTGCTGCTCTCAGCTACAGCGCATCTGATTTAGGAACCATCCTGCAAGTCCGTATTCACAGCACTGAGATTCTCCAGTCTGGAGAGGACGGTTTCGGGCTCCGCAGACTAACGCAACCCATAAGCTGTCTGTCTTACTTTGGTACAGAATGCTACTCTGCATAAGTTCAGTATTTCAGCAAAACGTTCTGGGACGGAAGCATAAGTTTTAACCTTTATGGGACAGCCCATAGCTGTGCATTCAGATCAGTGGAACATCTCTGGTGGTCTTCTGGGATCAGGGCTTCCCATCAGACCAGCTGACGGTAAGAACAACGACCCCTCAGACCTACAGTTGCAGCAAAAAGGGAAATGACATTCACAACGTATTACTTGTTTGGAATTATTGTCTATAGGTCAATGAATTGCAGGACCCAGTGCTTTAGAGTTTCATTGTCTAGAAATATATAGCAAGTGACAACAGTAAATTCTAATTTACACCGCTCTTTGCGTGCCCCTGGTAATGTCCCAGCCCATTAACATCAGGCTTTGTGGTGGCTGCCCTTGCCTTGTGTGGCTGTCCAACTCTCATGCATGCCATCCCTTGCACAATAGCCTCTCTGCCTGTTTTAAAGTAAACATTTTTCTTCTGATACTGTCTCCGTTCCATTTTCTTGCTGTACCAGAGTTTGGAACGTGATGAGGTAGTGCCAGCGGACCGCATCCTGCTTTGTTACAGGGATGTGGTGCAGAGTTACGCTCTCGCCTGCAGTGGATTAATGCCCTGTTGTTACTGCCGTCAGCTCTGAGCCTGATGTGCAGCCTCTGTGGAGGCAATAGCTCAACGGGAGCCGCTCCCTAGGCACTCCAAAATGGGCTCTTTTGGTTTTTATGGGGAAGACGTAAAAACTCTATTGATTAAACAAGGACAAGCTAAAATAAATGCAACAATCTTCCTAGTCAAGCAGAACCTGAAGTATTAAAAAGAAATGCACATTTCCTTCTGTGGGATACCTATAGGTTTCTCTTCCAACATCACCACTGCCGCTGGTCCTTACGGCCCTGAAGTCTTGCGGAGTGCTCAGATGCTGCTGCCTGTTCTCTAACAACTTCTGACCCTGGTATTAACAAGCCTATGGCCTAATTGGTAAATGCATTCAGTTTTAGTGTTTCCCAGAAAATGAAAACCAGAGAGGCTGACAACTCTGAGGATACAAAAGGAACGTCGTGCTTTTTCACCCCCCTTCCCCTTACCTGCTTAAGGATTTCTGCTGCCGTTTCATGTGAGCAATCAAATATCACGTAGAACTCCTTGCCCTTCTTCATCTCCTTGAGTAAAGGCCTGGCATCTTTATTCCCAGAGGGCAGCTGGCGGATTTTGATTTTAATGTTGTATCTAGAAGGGGCTTTGATGAGCTCCTGCAGGCGAATTAGACCTGAAAAATGATACGCAATTATACAACTCACTATTCTGTGCAATGAGTATTTACTGTCACTTAAACAGGGTCTCTTATCGGTCCCAAGGTATTTCACATACACAAAGGGTAGTTGTTAGCTTCATATTTGCCAGCCTCCTAACTAATATCGTTATAACTTTTCCTTTTCATAGTTATACTTGCTTTCAGCATGTAAATATTCTGAAACATACTTTTAATTCGTTGGCTATAGGATAAGTTTGTATATTGATGCAGTTTATGGAAAAAAATGATGTAATGCTTCTTCCTTGGCAGCTAATTATTATTTCAATATCAAACAACAAGCACACAGAATTGAAGAAACCTCCTTACTCTCTTTCCTGCCTAATGTCAAGCACGAGCAGATGAGGGGAGACAGACGGAGAAAAACGTTCAATGGCCAGCACCTCCATTGTGGCTCTCCTAGAAGCCAGCGGTTAGCTGGAGTGGCACTTACCGATAGCTATTCTAAACAGCCATCCACATGGCTCTCATTGTCCTCATTTCAGCATACACTGTAATGCCCCAGAGGAGGAGCCTTAAATTTTTCTTATCATCAGTTTAGAGACAAAGAGCCTCAAGGCATAGTGACTTGCGTAAGGTCACTCAGCAAGTCTGAGTTCTTATAAAGAACTGAAATATTCTGAGCTCCAGCTCTACGTCTGTAAATACAAGAATATGTCTTTGGCTGGTACAGATTTACATGGCTTATTTGAAGTCAGTGGAGCTCAACCAGTTGAAGATTTGTCCAAGTATTTAAACATAGTGCAATTCTACTAGCTAATTCAGCACTCCCATGTAATTGGTGCTGCCTCCAAAACCTAAGAAAGATAGTTAAGAGTTCTTTGAGGTGTGTGATTACAGTCTCTTTTCATTATCCATGAATGTAATTTACCCATAAAAAACTTGTGATCTCCTGCTGAGTGACGGTAAAAGGCTGCCTTAAAAATATGCACAAAGAGAGAGCGAATACAGGCAAGAAGCACTTCTTGAACAAAAATCAAACAAATTATTAATATGAAAAAACTCATCGCTCTCCTGCTGGGAGTGGGTATATATTCGTCTTGTGCATGAATGTCCTTGGCTGAATGGTCCGATGGTACACATAAGGCAAGACTGAGCATTCCTATTTCTTCTGAGGGTAGCGAGCGATTGCTATGTTGAGGGCTGTTGGCTTTCACTCAAGTACTGGCAATGTGTTTTGAAAAAACTAGTCTTCCCCTCCGCCTGCAATGCTGGGTCTGTTCTTTGCAGGTTTTCAAGTATCAACAATCAATATAGAATATTAAGCGTTTTGAGTATTCAAATGTAAATTACTGCACGCGCTGTGAGAGCGGAGCCTGGCTGGAAGCCAGCCTGTGTAAATATGAAACAATTTGAGTTCATTATTATGAGAATGGGGCACATGCTTCCAACACTGACTAACAAGTAGGGGAGTTTGTGTAATCTGGCTGTAAAGCCGTAGCTTGGCTGTACCACATATTCAAGTGCTCAGCCCTTGACTGCAGTGTCTTGGCCACTGCAACGAATGGCGACTCTAAGAGGGAAAACTGAGATCTGGGAGGAAGGGTCCAGCACGCAGGGAATCTTGTGTCTTATCCGCAGCCTCAGAGCAAGTACTGTTGCTCCTCTTTCCAGCAACAAAAAGCACTTAAGTGTGGTGAAGAGCAGAAGAAAAGGATTTGCCCACCCACCTCCATCTCCTTTTTGGGGGAAAGAAAACACTGTGTGCCTTAAAATATCTCCTTCAGTCACATGAGACTTGGACCTTGCACTTCCCATCACCTCCTACTGCCACATGAAGTGAAGTTAAAGCCTAGCTACAGTGTACTGAAGAAATTAAAGCAGCAGTGAAAAGAACTGCAGTTATTTTTCTGGAGGACCAGGCAAAAACCTGAATCAACTGACTGCCAGCATAAATAATAGCACAGGGGAATAACCATCAGTGCTCTCCTTCCCCTTCCTCCTGCTCAACAAATCCAAACCCTTGGATATGATACCACCAAGTCTTCATTCGGGACAAATCTTAAATGTGAAGTGCTTAGTCTGACTTGGG